ATAGGACTTGCGCGCGTACGCGATACGAGACTTGATTAATTTTTCCGCTACTTTGTTTAACCAGGAACTAAAAATCTTAAGATCCCAATTTCCTAAGAGATTAGTTTACAGTACACAAACGGAAACTTTATATCATAACGTCCTTAGTTGAGCTCTACACGACTACTTTTCAAGCACCTTATCAACGACCAAACTGCAAGTCAAGAGTATGGAACGTCAAAGGTACGCCGGGTTATTCTAAGTTTGGGATGGCCCACAAAAACCCGTAAACATATCTTTTATTTTAGAGTCGTAAGTAGTTGTTCGTGTACTGTAAGCGCCGCGAAAAAATCACTGGACTGTAGTTTAGGCTGCCTTGCTCAGTTAACCATCATGCAGTCGAAGCTCTCCTTGCAACCACTCTCGTAAGCGACCGAGCTCTAGTTACGACCACCTTTGTGAGACCCCGTTTGAACTGTGACTTAATCTTTGTAATGAAAAGCTCTCGTAAGCGACCGCTCCCGTAAGCGATCGCGACCACTCTTGGGATTATCCAACTTGACTTTTCCTTTGTTTTTTTAGCTCTCGTAAGCGACCACTCAGAGACTTATTCATATAAATGAAGACTTGCCTGAAACTGCACACTGCGTTTTTACAGTCGAACCTCCGGGCCGTGAACGACCACCCAAAATGCAAAGACTTAGTGGTGGCTTACAAGAATCGAACCTCAGAGAGCCTTTTCCGAGAAGCGGTCCCGGGCACATCTACTTTATGGAAGATAATTTATTGCATGTAATTTCTAAGTTATGCCATGTGTAGTTCCATGTTGTTACTAAAGTTCTTCGTATATTCAAAGGAGAACAGTGCAAACAGCGAACATAGAGATCAGAGAATGCGTCAAGTGGTCGCTTACAAGGGGTTAAAAACAATGGAAAATTATATATTAAACTTAATTTCAGGCTCAAAAAGTGGTCGCGGTTGCTTACAGGAGGTGGTCGTTTACTAGAGGTTCCAACTGTAACGCTTTGACTAGGAAAGGTTTGGTGTTTTGGATGAGTGATCGCTTATAGGAGGTGGTCGCTTACGAGAGGTGGTCGCACAGGGAGGTTCGACTGTAGTTCGTTGATAAAGATATTGGGGTTATATCAGATTTAAAGACACTCCGATTAAACATTAACCTCTTTTTTTTTTCTTTATGAATTATTAATGAGTTTCTAAAGCTCTTGTAAGCGACCACCTCTGTTGTTTTCTGATCATGCAGTCGCTTACGAGCGAGTTCCGATCACTTTTTCGAGTTTCCGAGGTGGTCGCTTACGAGAGCTTCTTCGACTGTACTAGAAACATGACAACTCTCGATCCAAGTTATATGCACATCACATCATAATATAGCATTATAATTTCACATTAGGCAATTTCCCGATTTTTATGATTCATATATTTTATTATTATTATTATTATTATTATTATTATTATTATTATTATTATTATTACTGTTATTATTATTTAACCGTGCGAGGCCAGTGAATGCCTGTTTTTATTTTAGGAGCTGTTACGGTTAATTTTGCCCGCAAATCCTTATCTTGTGCTACAGAAATGGTGACTGGCTTTTCAAAATAACAAGAAAGCACCGAAACTTTGAACATCTCAGGACTGTAAACAACTCAACTATTCATTCCCAACCCTTCCCCCCCCCCCCCCCCCCCCCCCAAAAAAAA